TTCAAGCCAGCGGCTTGCAACCGCAATTTCGGTGGTATATTTGGGTGCAGGGGGTGCGATGAGCCAGTCCTCACCATTACCTTGATGTCCTTCCCAAAGAGGTTGGCGTAGAAGCAGAGCCAGTTGGGAGAGATGTAAAGCCTTCCCTGGATGAGGATGTCTCTCTGGAGCGCACAGGAGCAAACTGCAACGCAGGGAGAGGGGCATGGAGGAGCCGTGGGCCGAATCGTGTTGTTTGTCCCCTCCCATCCCCAGTACATCCCCCCCACCTTTGAGCACGCTCTCCTCCGTCGGGATGTCCTTGAACAGCTTATGGTACTGGGAGTTGTACTTGCTGGCGGCCTGGAAACGAAGTAGAGGGATGTTAGCCGGCAACGTTGCCAATAAAGACGCCCCCCAAAAAAGGAAATACATAAACACCCTCACGGAAAGAAAATCTCCCTCTCCCCGCACCCGTGACCGGCGCAGCGGGGTCCCACTGGGCTGGGGACGCCAGGACTGAAGGGCTAGAGGAGGGTCGGACGATCCAGCACCCAGCGAACGCTGCGCCATCCTCCCGAATAAACATCTCCCCTAATATCTGAGCAGGCTGACGAGGAGCCGGTTTTCTCCTGGGCTCATCCGCAGGCAATTTGTTTTGCCCAGCGGTTTCTCTCCTCCTCCTCAAGCTCTTCTTTTATTCGGGACACGGTGACAACACTTGCTTTGCGCCCATCGTGCTATTTATATTCCCGGTGCCTCTTCAAAGCCCGCTGGCAGCCGCTGCAGGTTCACCCTTAAATAACTCCGTGCAGAAATTAAGAGCTTCTCTTTAAATCCGCTCAATTAGTCTCATTAAGGCGGGTTTGCATCCCCTCCTCTGCCCTGGATCTTGGGGTGCTCCTCAGCGATGGGACGGCTCCCCCGAAATCCAAGAGGATGAGGTGTTTCACCAGGATGCAGAGACGAAGGGGCCTGGGTGGTTGGTTTGGAGGCAGAGCCCCTGGTGACAAGGTCACCTCAGCTCCACGCACCTTGTCATGGGAGGAGCTGCGGCCTAAGAGGATCAAGGCTCAGCATCACCTGGGATCGGCTTAGACAACCCCCAGAGAGACGCCAGGAGCATTTCAGGGGGGATGTGGAGGGGACCATGGTGTCATCTTTGAGGCACCACACTGAGAAACACCCTCCCCGACCCCAACGCAAAGCTGTTGCCAGCCCCAAAACTCTCCTGGATGCCTCTGAATAATCAGCAAAATGTTCTTCTCCTCCACTTTTGTCACAAGAAAAGGCAAAACACCTCCCTATCCACTCCTTGCTCTTTCAGAGCGTCTCTTGTTGGCAGAAGGACTGAAAAGCTCTGTTCGAACAACCAAAAATGGTTCAAATGGATGAAAATCAAGCTGCTTGCAGTTGAGATTCCTGCTTTCTCCTTTGCTCTTGATTAAAAATTCCCCAAACCGAAGCAGTCCATTTTGGCTTGCGAAGCCACTCACCACTTCCCGCTGGCATTTCTTGAGGTCTTCATCCTTCAGGGCTTCGTTCAGGTGGAGGCTGGAAGGAATAATAAAAAGAATTAAGTAAGTGAAGAGCCCCCACATCTCTCACCCACATGAACTGCAAGAAGGAAGATGGTGAGATGTAGAGAACTTAAGATTGAGAGCCCAGGAAGCCACATGTGGGATAGTTTTGGGCGATTTATCGTAGAATCAGGTGTTGCTGAGGTTAAATAACACTGCAGAAGGCTGACCTCCACCTGGTGTCAAGCTGACAGTGAGCTGGGCACCCATACCCAAAACACACCCCAGGAGAAACCAGAGGCAGCGAAATTCCCCCCTTAATAAAGCAAAAGGAAGAAAAAGACCATTGACCCCAGGACGTTCACCTGCCGTCGAGGGAATCCAAACTCTTCTCTTTGTGGGATGCCTCCAGCTTCTCACGGCCGTGCATGGGCTCGGGGCTCTTCAGGGGAGCTGCCTTTTCGTGCATGGGCTTGGAGCTGCCGAGGAGAAGGGGAAGAGGAGGGAGGGATGTGTTTTGGGAGCCGTAAATCCGTTTCCCTTCAATCCTGGCCCACACAGAGGCGTTAATATCTTGGCTGCTCAAGGACAGCAAGAATATCTGTGCAATTTTAAGTCATGTGGAGATAAAAAATTTTAAAAAAAGGACATTGCTTCACCAGGGGCTCGCAAACAAGGAGCCGCGGCTCCCCTGGATTACACCCCTCAAAGTAGAGCCTCTCCAGAAGAGACAGAGGTTCAGATGAGAAAAAGTAGGGAAAAAAAAATAAATCTATTAAACTCCCTGGTGTGATAGAGATTTCAGCCTGTGGGGACTGGATTGGCAAAACACCATTTTCCCCATATAAACACCTCCCTCCTTTAATCGCTCCCCTCTCGTTAAAGCCTGTTATTTACTCTCACGGGTTTTATCAGAGGTGCTTATCAGCTGCAACAGGTAAAGCAAACACACTCCCCACCCCGCGTGGGGAAGGTTATCACCCGGCAGGCCAGAAAGGCAAACCACAACCGGAGATGGCCACGCTGCTGCTGGCACTGGGAGCCAAAGCGGAGCGCGGGGATGATGCTGTGGTGGAGAAGCCACCAAACTGCTTCCTACACACCGAGACAAGCTCTTATGCTGCCTGCGCTTCCCTAAAAATATCCTGCTCCCGCTCTGAAAAGGGAAATTCAAATAAATGATCCCCAACAGGCTTGGGAAGAGCTGGGACGGGGGCGCCGCAAGCCGACAGTCGTGCCCAAATGGCCCGAGAGTCAAAATCACATGAGGCCCCCCGCAACCAACCCACTCTGGAGCTCATCCCGCTCCGGCTTCTCTCACGTCATCTCTTCAAAATCCCCAACCAGTTGCACCACTTAATCCAGGCAAGCGGATTTAAGCCCTTAACTGGGGCTGACACCAAGGGGCACCACGTGAGGGACAGAGGGAGGCACCTGCTGCTTGAGGAGAGGGCATCGAGAAACACCCCTGCCCCGAGGTCACCAAAAGCACAGAAATCCCCTAAAACGAGAAGAGCCAGAGGGTGGAGAGCAGTTGGAAGTGCCGCCTGGTCCCGTCCTGGTTTTCTCTCCTGTCAGGGACAAGTCCTGGGTCCAAAGCTCTAGGGGGAGTCTGGGGGCAGCAGGAGGGGCATCCTCAGGCCCGGCAGCGGCTGCCTTGTCTCCCCTCTCTAGATGCAGCTCCAGATGTGGCAGGGATGGAGATCTGGGGTTCGGGAGCACAGGGTGAGATAACGGTCAGGCTCCGGGCACAACTGATGGGGAAGCCCCAGAAAAAAAACATCCCTGGGACTGAGACTCCCTTCTCCACACACGGGCTCCCCGACACCTCCCGGGCAAATTTTATGCCGGGGCGAAACTTCTCCCTCCCCTCCGGATCTGCATCTCCCTTCCCCTTACGCGACGTTCGGGATCTGGCCTGGAAACGCTCCCTCTCCGGCGGCGTTTTTTGGGTTTATTTTCTGCTGGATCCTTTCCGCTCCCCCGGTATGAGTGGGAGAAAGAGCAAGGCAGGGATTTCACCTCCCGAAAAGTAGA